GTTTTTTTTCCTGTTCTTCTGCTGTCTTTATAACATCTATATTTAATTCTATTGCAGTAAATGCTCTAGCAACAAGCTCAACCTTGCGTCCAGTAGTACTTAGCCCATGAACAGTTAAAAAACTAACAAACTGTTTGACAGATAAATTCCAAAAATTTTCATATTTTAAAGCGGCATGTTAAAATACAATTTTCAATGATATATTTCCAGATAAACTTTTTTTAGATGTTAAATAAACAATAAAAAAATAAAGCGTTTTGTCAAGTTTGTTTACAATTTTGCCCTCCCAAGAAAAACATTAAGTCACATGATTCATAGTTGCTGCTCAATTACGAAAAGGTCTATTCTAACATAATACAGGTATAAAAAAACAGCAAATGTAAAATTGCATTTTAAATTTACAAAATAAATTTTTCTAATAAAATTATCTTTGACTAGCCAAAATGTGGGTATCGGTTTCAATAAAATTTATGCCGAAATTTCGGTTTTGGTATTGAACTAGAGTACCCGAAATTTTGTTTTATTTCAGTTTTGCCTTTTTTCTGTTTTGGTCAATCGCTAATATTTTATACCAAATAAAACTTGGTTTATATTAATTACAATATTAATAAAGTATATATAATTCCTGGATTATCTATAGTTAAGTTATTTAACATTATAAAAATGATTTTCAGCACAAAATGTTGTTTTAGCAATTAACCATTGCATGATAAATGTTATCTATTGATTTTTCAAAATTTCTCCTGTTTATTTGTGTCTCTGTTTAAAATTATTTAATAATTTTCTTAGTTCTTCTAAATTTTCGACCTTCATTTTAAATCTATTATTATTATATTTTCAAGCTAAAATGTCAATGCCGATAAAAACCGGTTACTTTGCATTATAAAAGCTCTTTTTATAATGCAAAGTAATCACGATTAGCTTACTTTAATAAGTTACATGTTTTTATGAAACAGAAATTGAAATAATCAATGTTTTTAACAAAAAATTATTTTATTAGATCGAAGAGACAACCCTTGTCCATCTGAAAACAGTTCCGTTTCATCTATTCAAGAAATAAAAAAAGAAGGTATTGTTTTTTTAAATAAATTTTTAATTTTTTTTTTTTTTGAGAAGAATTTGTTGGACATAAGTATAATCATGTAAGTGTTTACAGTTTGCTCCATGTCTTGAAGTTAGCTATCTCAAAGAGCAAGAAATGCTGGATGCACCTATATATATATATATATATATATATATATATATATATATATATATATATATATATATATATATATATATATATATATATATATATATATATATATATATATATATATATATATATATATATATATATATATATATGTATATATGTATATATATATATATATATATATATATATATACATGTATATATATATATACATGTGTGTATATATATATATATATATATATATATACAAATTAAAATTACGGTAGTACAAGTTCTGACCCTACAAAAACAAAAGTAAAAGTTTTTTTGATCACAGCTGAGTTTTTTTTCCTACCAAGTTCTTAATGATCTTGTTTTAAAGAATAAATTTATCTTTTATGTATTTTCTTTGTTATCGTCTTCATCTTTAACTTAATACTGCAGTCAATTAATTTTAATTATTAAATCAAATTTATTTGAAAGAAGTTTATAAGCTTTAATTTTTTTTTCATTGTTTCATTCCTTTAATTAAAATATATTTTAATGTTTTTACATCATTAAATTATTAAAACAATGAAATAACGATTTCTTTTCGTTAAAACATATTTAATGTTTTTTTTTTTATTGCTATTGCTTATAGAACTTTTATAACTTTTTTAGCAAACGTTTTCACAAACTTAAACTTTTCTTATTCTCAAATAAATTTATAATTTTAATTAAGTTATAAATAGTATAAGTTATAATTTTATTAATAAATGCTTTTTAAATTTAGTTAAATTTTATAAATGGTCATATATCAAATTGCAGAACCCGCCATTTAACTCACAGATTTGACAACCATGTGTAGGGTTGCCAACATATAAATAATAAAATAACGGAACCGTTTTTCCAACTTTTTGTTTTTCTAGGACTGAAGTGATAAAAATTTATTGTATAAAAGTCATTTGCATAAACAAAAGCATGATACTTTTAACTAACACTTTCTGTTTTAAAGGACATTAGCAATGGTAACTAATAGCAACATTACCTTAATTGTTTAAAAACTATAGTTTTGTCACTCAAATAAAAATGTTTTTTTTTTTTTTTTTTTTTTGCATAACAGCACTTAAACTAGCACTACTGATAAAACATTGAAAGGCCTCTAGTGTTAAATATATTTTGTAGTATTTTTTTAAATATTTTTTTAGAAATATAAAAAACTTTTTTTGAAGGGTTATTAGGGTTATTCAAAAATAGGTCATGCCAAAATTTTGATAAAAACCCTAGCTTATGATCTCCCCTGATCCCAAATTAGTACTTAATTTTTTTTTGAGCATCAGAAAGGTCCCCACAGAGGGCAAAGGGGTCAATTTTTTCCTTGTTGTTGGAAATTGTACTATTCCCAACAACAAGTTAGCTACTATACAAGAAATTCTTCAGTACTACAACTTTCTGAGGAAATCTAGACCTGAAGTTAAACTAAGTTTTATTGTTGGATGCCCAAACAAAAGTGGATCATTCTCACCAAACTGTCTTACCAGTCAGTTACATTGCTGCATTATATCTAAGCTTGTTGTTGCGCGGATACGTGGTGGCTTTGAAGTCATTACAACCCAGAAGCTTAGGTAATAATAGATCAAACTTTATACCTTATAAAAAGACCAAAATATATTTTCAAGTTTTTTTAAGCACTTAATAATAAAAATAATTTCATTTTATAGTATAAACGTAGAAAATATGGTGAAAGACTGGATGAAGCTAAAAAAGCTTAAGTAAAAGAAACAACCCTGCTGAAGTGAATAAAGAAAAAAAACATTAATTGAAAATATGAAGGTTTTCTGGATTGGAGAAAACCCAATAAATATGATTGAAAAAATAAGGAAAGATAGGTTGAGAAACCAAAATGACAAAGTAGAAGACATAGTTTTCCTTAAATACTAGTTTAAAGAAAGGTAAGCAAGGTTAGGGGGTTTGGATAAAAAATTTAAGTACTCGATAAAAAGAAAGCATAAATTAAAATGTAATTATAGTAAGTTAGACAATGTATCTGATGCAGATTCTGAAGCTTCATCAAGTTCTTTTAATACCAATAAAATTACTTCAACTGATAGTGATTTTGAAATTGAGACACATATTGATCCTAGTTCTGTCAACCTACCCAAGGATATCTTGCACCGTAGTGCTCACACAGCAGTTGGACAGGTTTTAACTCCACATCAACACACAGCGATTCTTAGCAGTATTATAGTCAATTCTGGAGGATGCACATCTGATTTTGTATGCTCAAACTCATCTTCATACAGAGAAGCAGAAAACACTGTTTTTATGGGTGCTAATGAAATAGAGACCATATAAAAAGAATTTTTAAATCTTCAAATTCTCTAATAACAATTCATTTTGATGGAAAAATTGTCAAAGATTTTACTGAAGGAAAACAGTTTTCAAAAGAAAGGTTAGCTGTTCTTGCTAGGATTAAAGGACAAACTGGTTTATCGACTGCGCTTCTAGAGAACACCAAAAAGAAGCTATAGAAGAACTTATTTTTAACTTAGGATTAGATGATAAAGTCCAGTGTCTTTGCTTTGATATCACTAGTGCTTACACAGGTAAAATAAAAGGAGCTTGTCGCAGAATAATTATGCGCTTATAGCGCCCTATGTTGTTAACTGCATGTTGACGTCATATTTGTGAGCGTCATGTTACCCATATTTGGGAGCTTTATCCAAGTAGTCATATTTCAGAGTCAGAAATTAAATTATTCAAATTTCTTAAAAACCATTGGAATGATCTAGATACTGAAAAGCAAGATTCGAAAAAATTATCAACTCCTATTTGTTCCTGGATTAATGAACAAAAGCTGAATGCAATTCAATTTTGCAGATATATAATTAGCACTAAAGTTTTTAAAAAGGTCAGAGTAATAAATAGTTTTATTAAAACCTTTATAAATAATTCAATTAAATCTAATTCTTACACTTTAAAAAAAAATAATAGTACTTCACTTATTATTTTCCAGTTTTATCTGAACTTTAATTTTGTTTTAAGTTGTATGAGTTATCATTAATTGTTAAAAAATAATGTTGAGGATGAAAAATATTGTAAAGATTATCAAGAATTGGCTGAACTTACTTTGATGGTACTATTGCCCACCAACAGATTCAAACTTCACAATCCTGGAGCTGTTCATCATGCCAGATTTATGGGTAAAAGTTTATTTTACTTTAAACTATTTCTACTCATGAAAAGAATTCCTGAAATCAATGAAGAGAACAGAGATGGAATTACAGAAATGACAAAGTTTCTTTCTATTTTTTACACTGAGTGGTTTCTCCGAGCCAAGTTAAGTTCAGCTGCTCCGACACAGGTACACTATTGGAATAGTAGTTTGAAAATAAATATAAAATTTTGAATAATTTTGAATAAAATAGGTATACTATTTTTTTAAGTTGAAATCTAAACTTTAACTATTAGGACATGAAACCATTATGGCAGGTGAAAAGATTTGAGTGATGGAATAAAGCTGGTGCTCAAGCTGTTTCTAAATCCATACAACAACATACTTGGTAGCTTGATCCCCATATTTAGTTATTTTAGCAATTGCAGATAAGAGATGTCGTGGCTAAGAGACTTATTAGTCTGAAACAAGGTCCAATAGAAGAATATTCCTTAAAAAGACAGGTGTTGGATAAAGACACTCAAATGAGTCTAAACTTTTTACAGGATGAGCCTCCCAGTTTAGTTCAACTAATTACAAAGATTTCATGGCTTGTGTTTGACATGCTTAGTCATGAAAAAGCTGAAATTCAATGGATGAAGCTTTCTCCAGAGTATTGGATTTTAAATAATTTTTTTCAAGATTTTGAAACAGTTGTTATGAATCTTGATGTTGTGAATGATTGTTCAGAGAGAACAGTCAAGTTAGTTCTACAACTTGTTAACAAAGTACATTCCGAAGAGAAAAGACAAGATACATTTATTTTTACTCATGTATACAAGAGAAGTCAAAATGGAAGAAAAAAGTTGGATTATGCTAAAGCTGCACTAAATAGTATTATTTAATATCAACTTTTTAATTCAATTTGTTTTGAAACAATTGTAAATTTTTTATTTTTGTTTTGAACTGGTACTATTATTTTTATTGTTTATAAAAAAAACGTAGTGTTTATTGTTTTTAAACAAATGATTTTCAATGTTTTTTTTATCACTCTTAAAGTTACCTAAATAAGATATGAAAAGAGCCCCTAAATCTTAAGTAGAAGAACTCATTACCATGTTATTAAATAGTTCAATTTTTAAATTGGTTGAGATTTAAGGGTCCCACAAGTGGGGCAAAGTTTTTCTAAAAAAAGGGGGCAAAAATTGACCTTTTTGCCCTCTGTCGGGACCTTTCTGATGTTCAAAAAATAATTTGCAAAAAATTTTTTGCACTAATTTGGGGTCAGGGCAAATCTAGGGCTAAACTAGGGCTCTTATCAAAATTTTGACATGACCTATTTTTGAACAACATTTTACTGGCGATGTCGCTGGGTTAAATGAAGCAGAAACTGTTTTTGATCCTCGTCTTTAGTGAGGATTTCATTATATTTTTGGATAAGAGCAATGCCACACTCTGCGCTATTATTGACAATCTCGATCTTTCAAATTTTGGTAGCTAACATCTGATTCCCATGCTTCTGGAAAAAGAAGAAGGCACAGAAAACTCTTGGCCTCCCCCTTTTCAGTGATACTAAGTACTTTGAAGAGACAAAATGTTCTTTGGGTCACAAACTTTCAAGATGATTGAAGTCTGCGCTACATGTGCTTATTCTCTTCAGAGCTGACTGAGTCTTTGGAAGCTGGAGGTTGGCTATCATGGCTTTTTTAACATCTATAGGGACTCGGTTGTAACAAAGAGCTAAGCCCACGAGGTGTTCTGA